GAAGCAACCTTAAAAGGACTGGCGTGTTGTTTGTCTTGAGCCTCGTCCAATTCTTTCAGGTCCTGAGGGAGACCCTGGTTTGATCATGATTTGTTTTAGCACACCCTGATGGCTGACTTCATTCCTGCCCCCTCTTTTTTTTTTTGAACAGGCCACCCTAGACGATGCCACGGATGACTGGGGCATAAAAGTGGAGCGGGTAGAGATCAAGGATGTGAAATTACCCGTCCAGCTTCAAAGAGCCATGGCTGCTGAAGCAGAAGCTGCCCGGGAAGCCAGGGCAAAGGTGGGCAACGTTGTACATTTGTTTGATTTGGCTCATATCCTCCTGTTTAAAGTTTAAACAGTGCAGCTAAAAATCTGGATTTTTTGCCACCATGGATTAACGTGCCTCGCTCTCTACAGCGCAGCTAGGAAGCCAATATTTCTGGGGTCCGCCTTTCAGACTGCTTGGGTGCAATGGTTTCAATCTAGAATCTTTTCTTTATCCCTCTTCCTGTCTGTCAGCTTAAAAAAAAAGTCCCAGAGTTTATTGCATGCGTTAGTTCATTACTCTTGCCAGCATTCTCATTCAGGTTGAATATGACTGAATGTATTCCAGGAGGAGGAAATGAATGTCTGGAAATGCTTTTCTTGCCTGCACAGGCCTGCCTAAAAGTCAATGTCCAGAAAATGGTTGCATCTACAGATATTTTTATTAGGGCTGCAACATTTTCAGGCAACAACTCAATTAAAACCTTTTGCTGATTGGGAAACAGATCCATAATTTAGTGGGGCCATGACTACAAGTCTGGAAATGTTACTTTAATGGGAGTGGAAGCTCATTCAAATGAGATTGATGACTTGAGAGCATCAAAGCAGTTGCTGTTCCTCATCTGTTGCAACTAGCTGCTCTTGTTTTGTTTATTTAATATTTGTCATTCTGCGGGTGTTCAGGAAAACCACACTAAGCCCCTTCATGTGGTTGTATCACCCCAGAAAACAGGACTATCCATAATCATGTCTCACTGAGGTCTCATACGAGAAGAGCAAATATGCTAGCAAGAAGGGTAGGCTTGAAAGCTAGATCTGATTTTCTAGCTTCCTACCTGCATCAAAGTTTTGGACAGGCAACATTAAAACATATGAGGGCCCCACACCTACCCTCCCCATAGATGGCATCTGGCACCATGGCACCTCCCTCTGAACCTTTAAATCCGTCCTTTGTTAAATAGGAAATTAACTTTGGCTAATTGAGAAAGAGAGGCTGGGTGTCAAAAGGAAGGTCACAGGATGTACGGACTTCCTCATAATAAGCATGGAATGTGAGCGAGTTCATTTCAGTTGTTGTTTCCCTTATATGGAGTTAGTTGCCTGTGGGATCTTATTTTTAGCAGGTGAAGGTATTTGAAATCCTAAACAGTGTCTTTCATTGAGGTGGGATGTCCCTTTTGCTGGTCATCTGTGATTGGCAAGGTTGAGCAACCATCAGCTCTCCAGATATTGTTTTAGACTCCCACTCCATCAACCTCAAACATCATGGCTCAACATTTGAAGGACGACTGATGCAAATTGCCTTCTTCTGAATGGGGGGGGGGGAGGGCATCTGGTTTGTGTGCAGAGATTGCAAACATCAGTTTCTAGGAGCCTGAGTTAAGGATCCCCATTTCCAGAGAAGATAAAGCATTGCGACATCCAAGAGGAGCACTCGTTCCCAGGGCTCCAGGTGTGTGGGCCACATGACCTTTTGCCTTGTGCGTTGGGAATTCTGGGAGATGTAGTTCCCACACTGGAGAAGCTAGTACTAGGATAAACAGGTGTCAGCCTTGTGAAGTAGTCCAGAGAGGAAGCACGCCCAGATGAACACATTCTACTTTATTGTAAGGTTACATTATCAGAATCTTGCAAGTCTGAAGGTACGTTTCTCCCCTGTCACCTTTACAGCCTAAGAAACTAGGGAGGGTCTCTTCTGAGAGGTTTGCCACACCCACATTCCTTCTGGGAGCTAAGCTGCCTCTTATCTGACTGTTCTCCTGGCTGTGGCTCTTCCCCCTGTCTCCCAAGGTCATTCCCGCAGACCATTACATCGGGACAGAAAGTCAGGTTTTGCATAGGCTTGCCTTCTATGCATGCAAAAGCTTTACTGGATTTGGGACTTCCTTCCTTCCAGGTCATCGCTGCAGAGGGTGAAATGAATGCTTCCCGGGCCCTGAAGGAAGCCTCGATTGTCATTGCAGAGTCTCCCGCTGCCCTCCAACTCCGCTACCTGCAGACTTTAACCACCATTGCAGCTGAGAAGAACTCCACAATTGTCTTCCCCCTGCCCATAGACCTGGTGCAAGGGATTATGGCAATGAGACACTAACCAATGAAGCAACATTGAGGAAGAGAGAGGGGCTCCCGGGTGGAAAGCTAGATTAAAAGCAAAAGTCAGCGTTGGCTAGGAGAGCAACTGAATCCATGTAGAGATGACAGGTATTTTGTGTCAGCTGGGCCCCCTTCGTCGTCCCTCTGAATAAATGTAGAAACCCAGTTTTGCTTCCCCCCATTTTCTTCTTTAAAGAGAGATTTCCAAGTGCCTTGCGTCTCTTAGACCTTTGGAGGGAGAATTGCTCAGATCTTGGCCTTTTCTTTTTAAAACAAAATACCTTCTTTGCCTTCTCTCATGGGAAACAGCTTCCCATATGAGAAGTCAGGTGGAACTTTCCATAGCGGCCTTGTTGTCAGAGACTGTAATGAACGAACACATTGTAGTTATGGAGATAATATGTGTGTAGCTTCTGCATTCAGGTTACGTGCGTGTGTCTCTTTTCCTTGGATGTCAACTTCATTCATTGCCTCTATCTGGTTTGCTATGTACATTTTTTTTATAAGAACAGAGATACACTTTTTTAACCATTTTTTAAAGACAACTCTCCATTTCCTGATCTTGTTTTGTTTTTTTCAGAAAAATAAAACCCCAAAGAAGGTGGTCTTATTTGTCAGAAACAATACTGGTGCCTTTGAGTCTTTAACTGATTTTAGATTTATTGTTTCCTGATGGCTAAGAAGCTCGATGTTTATTTTAAGATGTCTGCGATCAGCTGCGTGGTAATATATTTACCTGAAAGGAAGTTTGGTTGAAAATTATGGCCTTCCCAAAGTTTAGACAGGCTGTCTCTACTATCGCATTTCAGGAAATCTGAAATAATTCATTTTAAAGGCAAATAAACCCCACAGGCTTCCTTTCAAGTAAGTACAATATTTGCATTAAATCTCAGCTTTTTGCACATATGCAACACTGATGTTTAGCCCGACGTTTCTGTATATTTGCATTATGCATTTTGTAAACTTAGTATCTGGTCGGAATCAGTAACTGTCACCGAATAGCATTGTGGCTAACTGTAACTATTGTATTCAGCACTGTGTGTTAGTTTTAATAGCAGGAAAATAGGGTTGGGGTCCAGTTAGTAAAGTCAGAGGCCTGTCAGATGAAAACCGCAGGCCTTCCAGTTGTCTGAACTAACGATCTTCTGTTGAAACCTCACGGTCCTCGTTCATATTCTCAGAACCCTGCCACTTTAATTTCATGCTCATTTTAGTTCAGCACGCAATTACAGAATTGGAATGAATGTGTCCTCCCTGAGGGCAGGGGAGAAGCACCCCAAAGAACCAAAGTTCTTTAAAGTCTATCTACCCAAAGTGCTCTTAATATCATGTAGGGGGGAAAAAGTGTCAATGAAAAGGTGTCTGAATTCTAAAGTGTCCTTGTTCAAGAGCTGAAGTTCCAATAAATGTTTCTTTTAATGTGTTCTTGTTTCTGAGGTCTCCACCCCTTTGGCAAAGGTGTTTCCTGAAGCTTTTTAAAATTTATTCAGGGCCAAACTGGCCCTCTGGATGTGGCTGAGATAACTGAAGTAAGTCTCAGCGGTTCTCAGCCAAGCCTGGAAGAAGGCTGGGGATTGTAGGTTTCCCACTCTTGATACAGCATCACGAACATCACAGCGTATTGGGTCGGAAAAAGATGTGAAAAGATAAATCCTTCCTCTGTGAAGATTAGCGTTTAAAAATTTAGCAGAAGGAAAGCAACCGAGTTCATCTAAACAGGAGGAAAAATGTATTCATTTTATTTACAGTTCACTCCCATCTCGCCCTTGATGAATGGAAGGATTCTATGCGCCCAAGGCATAATGACAAGTATGCTAGATTGATTTGATTGATTGATTGATTGATTGATTATGTAACATCAAGTCAGTGTCAGCTCCTAGCAACCTCATAGATAGATTTTCTCCAGGAGGATCTGTCCCCAGCCTGGCCCTTCAGGTCTTCCAATGGTCCACCCATTGCTGCTGTAACTGAGCACCTTTCTGCTGGCCGTCCTCTTCTTCTCTTTCCTTCCATCTTTCCCAGCCTCAGAGCCTTTTCCAGAAGCTACTGATGTCTTCACAAAATGTGTCCAGATAGAATAATTTATGACAATCAAATTGGTGCAGCTTTTTTTTCTCCTGGATTTTGCCAAGCACTGATCTGTGAACTTACTCCCTGAATCAACCCTGCACATCTTCTGTGAGCTGGCATCTACCTTTGAAGGAGCAATGCCAGGAGATATGACGTACATCCCCAAAGACCTGCGAGTTCAATCTTTATTTTTTAAAACTCTCTCGCCCTTGTTATTGTCAAAAGGGCTCTGAAAGTTTCATTGGAAGTATGATCAGATGAAACTGATGCTATCGCAATCTCGACCGACCAAATGTCTCCTAAGCAGCCCTAATGAATGTTGAAATTATTGGGGTCCTGGAATTAGCAAGGCAAGAGCTTCATCATGAGCCTTTCCCTGCCACTGAGTTAAAGCACTGTTGGTCCATCTCCAGTCCGCATGAAACAATACCAGCAGAACATCTGCTATCCCCATTATCCATCCTTATCCTGCCCTGAGGTACAACAGAACCCATTCCCCACCCATTTCCCCTGCCTAGGTGGATAGATTTCCAAACCTTTCCGTGTTTTAGATTTTATCTTCTTGGGCTTCTTGTTATCTCAGGCCAGCCAGCAAATAAATCTCCAGGAAGTTTTCATGTAATTGAATGGAACTCGTAACTTGAGAGTTGTATTACAGAGGAAAAAAACACTGCGCTGGCTGCGTATCTTCTTTCAGACAGGGGAGAACCAAGCTTCATTTTAACCACGAATATATTCATTAGAAATTGGCATGGTTTGCACGCTGCACTGAGAGAGTAGATGAGACACCCAGCTGAGGTTTAGATTTGGCCTTGGCACAGCCACTGCTCTGCACATTTTCCTACATTTGTTTTATTTACAATATTTGTAAAGTTGACGCCCCCATCATTCCAACCCTGGATTTTCAGAAGCCGTTGCCCAGTTTCTGCCTTCTGAAAATCCTTGCATCACAAATATCTATTTATCGAGGAAAGCTCTCTTCCTTTCTTAGTGTGCCAGGGGAAGAATTCTCTCTTGCCCCAGATATGCAATCCTTCAGAGGTACTTTCTGTTCTCCAGATCTGAGGGAGGAGAAGTAGAAGGAGAAGGAGGAGAAGGAGGGCAGGGGGACGGGAGGGGAGGGGGAAGGAAGGAAGGAAGGAAGGAAGGAAGGAAGGAAGGAAGGAAGGAAGGAAGGAAGGAAGGAAGGAAGGAAG